CAGATATTGCCGTAGAAATCTTCCAGAAGTCTGCCCCAAGCCCAATACGAAAGCTTCAGAAGAAGTATGCTGCTCATGTTTCCAGGTTTGTGCTGCCGCTCCTATGCACAGATTACATATTCTTAAAAGAACTAAATACAGCACTTCCAGTCAAACATCTAAAACGGATCTGTTTTCTGCTTCAGGGAGGCTTGCATCTCTCCGTGTGCCATGATGCTGGCTCTAGTTTACATAGAAAGGCTCCGACATAGAAACCCTGAATACCTCCAGAAGATCTCCTCCTCTGACCTCTTCCTGATCTCCATGGTATGTGTTGGGTTCAGAGGTCATTCTAAACATGTCACAGTATTTTTTTTCTAGCATGTTCGCTGCTGTTTTCATAATTGAGTTTAATGCTTTCTGTTTTTTGGACCGTTTTCTGCTGTTTTCTGCAATAAATACGTGAATATAATGATTTTGCATTGACGAACGCACTGATCCCTCGCTTTGAAATAGATGGTTGCCAGCAAGTACCTGTATGACGAAGGAGAGGAAGAAGAGGTTTTCAACGATGAGTGGGGAGCAGCTGGGAAGCTGGACGTCAAAACTGTCAATACCCTGGAGATGAACTTCTTGAACGCCATTGTAAGTGTGTGTGAGAGAGAGTGTGTACAGGTACATTTGCGTGTGGCGTGTGCTTTTGTGTTCAAGTTCTTTGGCCCAACCGTTGTGTCATATCTTGCAGGAGTGGAGCCTCTTCACAGAGCCAAATGACTTATTTGATATACTAAGTCAACTGGAAACCAGGTTGGTAGACTCCACATTACACTAAAATACTGTCAGTAAGAAATATTCATCCCCGAAAATGGACTTTAAAGAGTCTTTTCAAGAGTCAAACGCGCCTTCTCACATTTGCTTTGGTAGCGTTGTGAAACGAAACATGAAGAAGCAGACTGAATACCTTATCAGCACTGTAGTGGCATAACCGGTTTGTGTGTATTTCTGACTGTGGTCTCTGTTTCGTCAGGATTGCAGAGCGGCAGGGGATGAAACGCGGCTGGTTCACCTACACTGACCTCTGTGTGCTTCTGGAGCAATCGGCATGGAGTCACGCCCTCACAGCCATGTACCAGCACTTTACCAAGGTGAGACGGGGATATGAGTTGAATGGAGCTGGGTGGGTGATTCTTTGTATAACTTACGGCCACACAAACATTGTAACAACAGTAGTGAGTCAAACTGTAAAAGAGGAATTGGGTATTATAATTGTTAATACGTGAAGTTCGATGATCCGATTTGACCTCATTTCATTTTCAGGTGTCCTGCATGCTCGGCCTCGTCTATCTGACCAGTGTAGCTGGCCTTATCGCCACCAGCGCTGTGCTGCACCAGCTCAGTCTCTCCAGAAGCGGCCAGCCCCTGCTTCCAGCTCCAGCTGAGATCAGCCCGGCCCACCTCCAGACTCCCAACCTGAACTCAGAAGCTCCGTCTGCAGCCCAGCGCCTCCCCTGTTGTGTCCTGGCCAACAAGAGTCTGAACCGCCAGACTGGTGCGCTTGGAATCGACCAGCACCACGCACAAAGCCCGCCATCGGCCTCCTCACAGACATCAGTGTTGTGTCTCTGGGGCTCCCTCCTGGCCTCAATGGGTCACATACATCCTGAGACAAATGAGAAGGAGAGTCCCCAGACTTGGTCTCCTGCCTCCTTCTTCTGTCCCGGCTGTCTTGCAACCCTCCCTCCTCTCCAGTGCGGGCTCAGAAACACCTCGTCACTTTCCACTCAAGGTCCCCTTTACCATCAGCATCATGCACCGTGGCTGGCCTCCAGCCTTCTTGGAGGACCAGAACCAAGTCTGAACTCTCGCCTGGGTGTGTTACCCCCTGTACAGCTAGCACCCTGCCACCCAGAGTCTATGTTACCTGTCAACAAAGCCCAAGCTCTGCTCATGCCCGGCTAGTGGATTTACCAACTGCCCTGCTGTCAGACCTGTAGTTATGGACTCTGGAAATGAAACCAGCATTGTTTTCATGACTCATCAAATCCTCAAAGTCATGTTTTGTTTACTTTTCCAGATCTAGAGTACAGGTGTAAAGGCACGAGCAGGCACATTTGGGGCAGGGTGAGAGTTTAATAACGCAGCACAGTGTGCAAATTCACTTACAGTTCACTACTGCAGAATACATTTGCCATAAGTAAAACGCCATAGTGTTCAGCTAATGCTCTGTTCTGTTTGTACTGCAGAAAAGGTGTCCGGGAGTTTGAGGATAATCTGATATGTTTTTCTCGGCTGCAGCCGAGCTGTTTCGCATTTATCATTGTTTGAAAGTTCAGAGCTGTCAGATGGCGATGCAGGGCCTTTGCGAAGAGCGTGTTTTGAGTTATTATATCACGGCCGTAATATTGCAGCTGCTTGCTACTCGGCCGGTTGATGAAAGCGTGTGGAGGTTTCACAGCATATCTGAATGTTGAGAGTTTCACAGTAGGTTTTTGTGTTATGACGGGGGCTCTTTGAGAAGAAGGGACTAAACCAGTTTACTTTGTTGGCTATGTTTAGGCTTTTCCATATTTGCTTAGTGTAACCATATATTTTTCATTTACGCATAAGGAGCTTAACATCAGACAATTGGTCATACACGTACAGCAAGCACTGATTTTGTACACCAGGTAGGTTTTGTTACTGTTGAAACAGATCTATTTCTGTCCTTGTAAACTTCAAAGATCTTCCATCTCAATACCTCAGTGGAACTGTCACTGGCCTCATCCGTAGCATTTTGCCACATAACATTAAAGACACTTCTAACAGGGTGATGTTTAGCCAAATTTAAGAGATTTATTTTAAGGTTCCGTTCTCCGAGGGGAAGAAGGTGTGTGTAAAAAGGATGGGCTCCTGGGGTTGGGTTGCGGTTGGGCTTTTTGAAGTGTATTTTGAATAGAACCTGTCACTTGTTAAAGGCCAGGACCAATGTTTCTGTGTTGATGCAATCCGGAATTTGCACATCTGACCATGTCATTGCTTTGATTTCACTCCATCATTACTGCATAGTCGAGTATCTTTTGAACACCAGAGGGAAATGTGAAGAATTGATTACTTTTTATGTAGACAGTTACATATGGTCCCCAGGACATTTTACTTTGTAATCGAACCTTTCACAAATGGTTCTGAGCATCTGAATTTGATACACTTTGAAGCATGAAGTCCTTTAATTTTGTACATGGTGTAAAATGCAAATATTGTACAAATCTGTAGAAAAACCAATGGCTAATAAAGAATGCATTTCTTTGTGACATTTGCTCATTCTTGTCTTTGTCAACAACACACGGTGAAGCCCGGGAGAATCAGCATTTGAAAGGCACCACTATCAACTGTCAGCAGTACGCTTTCTATGTTTGGACTCTTCCAAAGACCTTTACTGTGTCTAGCCTTGACATTTCCTCTGTACGCTGTGAGTTCATGCCATTTTAATTTCTGACATAGGTGAGATTGTACCTTCTCTAGAGGCCTTGATAAATCATATAAGCCCAGTTTTTCTTTAAGGACAAGTTCTACGCCACGAGTTCCAGCTCCTGTGTGCAACACCCCTCTGCAGCCAATAAATACTGACAAATGAAGGCGACCCGAGCTGGCAGCAGGCGTTAGAAAACAGATCGAGGATGCGTGTTGAAGGCCAGCGCATTCCTTTAAACAACCATGCGAGGCGATAACTGTTTGTCAAAGATGGGAAGCAGATGTCTAGATATGGCAGAATCTGGAGTGTCCCTCCCCCCCTCCCCTGAGCCTGTGCCAGCTTCTTTTATCCCTCCCCTACACCCGTGTCACATAGCACTCCAGAGCTCCTAATATAGAGCCAACCGCTTTGTAGGAGAGGGTAACAAACAGTTTGAGTTTTCTGCTTTGAAGACTTTTTCATGGACACAACGGGATTATGGAACCTCTCTCACAGGTGAAATGTTACTTTGGAATAAATATAACCGGTGGGAAAGTGTTTAAACTGTTACTGGAAGCAAGAAAAATGAGTAGCCTGGATTCCAAACTATTTTGACTATGTCATGTGGAGACTGTTTGGCTTGCTGTGTTGTAGGTGTCATTCCCAAAAAAGAAGCAGGAAATACAGAAACAAGGTACGATTGCATACGTGTGTTTTAATCCGCCTTTGTAAATAACATGGAAGTGTATCGATCTGTGCTCATGCGTGTAAATATCAGGTCTTTAGTCAGTGTGATCAGCTGTTATAACATGTGATTCCCCACAGAGGCTGATGCCACCGTCTACATGAATTTCATGAAGAGTCACTGCTGCTATGATGCCATTCCAACCAGCTGTAAACTGGTCATATTTGATACCACACTGCAAGTAAGACTAGTTCACACATCCAGAATTTTCAATGAGAAAACTGGTTGTTGTTTTTCTGCTTGTGAACCCTCACTCTGTGTACATCTATTACTTCCAAAGGTGAAAAAGGCCTTTTTTGCACTGGTGGCAAATGGCTTGAGGGCTGCGCCTTTATGGGACAGCAAGTTACAAAGATTTGTGGGTAAGGCGAGGGATTAATGGCATAGCCGCGGCGACGTTTCGGCCACTGTGAATTACACTAATGGGGCAACATGAATCATTTTCTCTCGCAGGTATGCTGACTATTACAGATTTCATCAACATCCTCCATTGCTATTACAAGTCCCCTTTGGTGAGCATGAATGCGCCACAGTTAAAGCTTTGTGTGTGTGTGTTATAGATTACTATAGAAAATTGATTTGATCTGTACTTATTGACTCATCTCTGAAGGTTCAAATGTATGAGCTGGAGAGCCACAGGATTGAGACATGGAGAGGTGACTCATTTAAAAGTAAATAGCAAACACATATTTATGATGTTATCTCTGCGTACACATGTTGAATTTCCATGAGAGCTCTTTCTCCTTCTGTCTAGACGTCTACTTACAGTGTTCCAATCAATTCCTCATAAGTATCTCTCCAGAGGCCAGGTGAGTGCGCTCTCAGATCAAATCTTTGATGCTATTTTATCTGTTCTTTATCTGTCGGGAAGTAAATTCATCTGTTCTCTCGTCTACCGTTTCGTCGTAGCCTCTTTGAAGCCATCTATTCCTTACTTAAATACAAGATCCACAGGCTGCCGGTCATCGATCCAGAGTCTGGAAATGTCCTGCACATTCTGACCCACAAGAGAATCCTCAAGTTCCTCCACATATTTGTGAGCAAAAGCTTGAACTCGGATGTTTTAGCGTGTGGTTCAGCCTCAGATATAAACTTGCCATGAAAAAAATGAGCTGAATGTAAGGCGTTGTTTGGATGTTTTTTAGGGGAAAAAGGTTCCCAAGCCCGCATTCATGGGAAAGCGGATCCAGAAGCTCGGGATTGGAACGTTCAGGAACATTGCCACTGTTCAGCAAACGGCATCGCTTTACGATGCCCTCTCCATTTTTGTGGAGAGGCGGGTGTCCGCGCTGCCTGTGGTGGACGAACAAGGTATGCCCTTTTTATTTTTTGACATTAGAGAGCTGTATTTATTGGTATTGATGGGTATTCCTCCTTTTCTCAGGCAAAGTGGTGTCACTCTACTCAAGATTTGACGTGATTGTAAGTACCATAGTGTCGCTTCCTTCCATCCTTGCCGATAATAAACTGCTCAGACGCTGGGGTGTGTGTGTTTGCTCCATGGCAGAATCTGGCAGCCCAGAAGACTTACAACAACCTGGACATGACTATGCGGGAGGCCGTTTGCATGCGCTCCTGTTTCTTTGAAGGAGTAATCAAGTGCTATCCTGATGAAACCTTGGAAACCATCATAGACCGCATAGTCAAAGCTGAGGTATGTATGTCCTTTAAAAGGTCTCAAAAATTTAAATCCGAGAAATACTGGAGGACATTCTTCCTGTGTCTTTTCCCTGCTCATCCCAGGTCCATCGTCTGGTCCTGGTGGACAGGTCTGACGTGGTGAAGGGCATCATTTCTCTGTCCGACCTGCTGCAGGCCATGGTCTTAACCCCTGCAGGTATTGACGCCCTTTTGTCCTAGCACCAGAGGACACAGGCAGGGTCCCCTTCCCTCCTTTACCACCTGTGTAGGCTTGAGTCCTGGCCGTGTGTACCCAACCAGGTAGGCTCTGGAGCCTGTTTTCCCACCCACAACAACCCCCTCCCACCCTGTTGTCTGGTAACCAGCACCCAGACGTCTTAACCCCACATGTCCTCCTTTAATGTGTACACAACAGAGATCCTCATGCTGCTTTCACGCTGTTATGTGCAAATGACCAAATCTTTGCACACAAAGACATGCACGCGCTGCTTGACTGGTGCTTTGCAAGCAAGATTCGTCTCTATTTTCTGGTCCTGACGATAGATGCAGAGTAGAATGATGGTGGCTTTTGCTTATGTCTTTCAGAAATCAACCTGAAGTGAGAGCTCACGTGAGGAAGACAAACGCTGTGCTGCTGTTTACATTAAGGTGTCTTACGGGATCTATGTGCTGCGTTCATGTAACAAGAATGGACAGTGAGTGGACTTTGATACTAATGAATCTTTATAGGTCTCCAGCACAGTGTCCACATTGGCTGCATTTGATCAAATTGATCAATATATGTTTACCCAATACTGTATATTTCTGTATTAAATGTTTGTATCACAACTGGCTGGTGTTTTCCATGTATATTTCCTGGAGAAATATTATAGCTGGAGTGTGCTTATATAGAAGAGTATACACAATATATATAGGATAGATTATCAGTAATAGTAGATGCAGTAGTAGAAGTAATGGCGGCTATCCTCTTCTGTTAAACCTATGCTCTCCATAATCTAGGTGTTTCTATGGGCCAGGATTTGAATCTTGTTGAGAAAGTACCTAGCAGATATTGAGATAATTACTCATGAATACATGTATCACCCCCCGGCTTGACTACCGAAATTATTCTTCCAGCTGTCTTAGCTTATTAAGACAGCTAAGACAGTTTAGTTTATTATTAATTATGTTTTTTAGCTGGATTTCTGCATCTAATGTCTAATTCTCTGTCTCTAAACTTGCTTTTTTTGTCTTGTCTGCTCTTGAAATGTGCCATATGAATAAACTTATGTACTTACTTACTTACTGTTGCAGGTTTTCAGTGTTTTACCATTATACCAACATTTAATGCATGCAGCAGTATCCCCAGCCACAAGGTGGTACACTTGGGCTTTAAGCTTTAACCCCCATTATACAGTAAACAAGGAAACACGTGACTATATGTTTTTTTTTCTCATCCGTGACGGGCCTTGTGATCCGTCCGCCCATCTGTGTCAAGTGGTACATCAAGTTGCCAGAAATAATCAAACATAAGGCCGGAAATTGATATTGCCTTCAAAGTAAGATAAGTTTACCTGACGTAAAATCTCATTTTTTAATTAAATTATTGACAATTATTATATTAAACATGAAGTTATCTGTAAAAACAATATGTATAGGTTTTGTAACAGCATCATGTTTTGTAAGCTGTGTTGGTTTAATCAACCATGCATGTATACATTTATGGTATAAATTGAGTTATTTTTTACCAAAACTTTCATGTTCACATTGGTACATTGGTATCACCTATTTTGTGTGTTTGGTTTTATATTGGTCGTTTCACAATTGTAATCATATTTTTCAAAATTAGTATTTTAATTAACCAAATAATATATTTCCTCTAGTCGTCGTTCGGTACTTTGTGTACCTGTTGCTATAGGCAATCGGTTTTATTTTGAAGGTCGCAGCCGGAAGCATTACTTTTTTTCTTTTTACGTCTGTCGCACTTGACGCTGATCTTCCCATATACCCCGTGATAGCCAAAACAACACAACAAAGTGGGGGAAACATGGCGAGCGAAGAGGAGGCTAGAAGACGCCCCTCGGTTACCTCGTCTTCGGTCGGCCTGGAGTCTCTGTTCCCTGCCGGGTCCTCGGAGCAGGCCTGCGGGGACTCAAACCCGGAGCTCGTCCGCCTGCGGGAGCGTCTTCAGGGTTGGCTATCGCAGTATGAGCCCCTGCTGCTGTGGTTGCAGAGGCTGCTGGTCTGGGAGAGGCCGTTGTACAGCATCTCTGTCGCCCTGACGCTCAACACTTTATTCTGGTAACCGTCGAGTCCGTGTTTAATCCCGGTTTCCACCTCCCCGACAGCTCCGTGAGGTTTAGCTCGCTGGCTAACGTCGTATTGCGAGTGAACGTCAAGTTAAGTCAGCTAATCCCACGTCTTTAGCCCCATGCTAACGTAGCCCGCAAACCACTTTAAACTTCATTTCCAGCTCGGAAAACGCGGCGTCGTGCATTAAAACGCCACCGGGAAACGACATGAATGCGCTGACCAAACGGACAACCGGAGTTATTTTGAGTTGGGACACTTGTTGGCTTTTCTCCGCCTAATCCCAACAAACACTCATGTCATGCTGAGTGGCCCGGGCCTTGTTAAGCAGCTAACTAACACCGGCGCTATGTAGATACGTTTAGTCTAATTTGGAAGTGAGATACGTGACATTATATGTGTATTTATTATTACAGGGGGTGTGAGTTGAATATAAGCCAATTGGCACGCTGTTTCTCTGTCTCCACAGGCTCCTGTCCTCCACCTCCCTGCGGCCTCTGTTCCTGTTGAGTGTGTCCCTGCTGGGACTTATGCTGCTGGAGAGATGGAAGCCCAAGTTGCCCATCATTACCGGTAAGCCTTTATGGAATCTGCATCTGCTCCACAGGCTTTGTCACTCATTGCCCAAGCAAATGTCCACAGTTGCTGAGCCTATTTAAAATCTCTACTTGTTGAACACTGTGCCTTCAGTGGGTGGAGGAGCCTGCTGCGTCAGTGTGTGTTTATCTGCTTATTCTGAAGTATGTTTATTCAACTTGGGGTTTCTAATAGAGACATCACATTGTTCACAGTCATGATGATAGTATAGAAAATCCTTCTTGAATATTCAGCAAAGGGTGTTCACTTTTATACTGATATTTGTAACAGCACGAGTCTTGTTGCAGTGTTTCTGCCTTGTCAAGGTGGGTAATCCTCAGACAAAGGTCTGTAGAACTACTGAAACTCACCAGTGTCATTGTTGGTGTTTGTCTGAGGTAATTCATACTGCACTCTAATGGAGCTACGCTTTTCCCACACACAAACAATGTGGGATTGCTTGACGTATCTCAGTAAACATGTAATCAAACACCTTTCTACGCACCTTTCTAAGAACCTTTTCACCCCCTTTGAGGTTCTGTGATAATCCTGAAAAACTTGTCATATGATTTGTTTACTAAGACACATTTCTGGTTCCTGATCTGCTGCTAATTGTGTGTTTTTCTCCTGCTGCAGTTCAACATGCAGAGGCTCACCCTGTACAAAGGTGTGTAGTGTGTGTATATGACAAACACATTACCTGCTGTATATCTCATTCATATCCTGTTTTAATTCAAAACAAGAGGCTCAATTGAGGCCACAGCCCTGATGTGGTGTTGTATTTGTGTTCATCCGTGTGCGTCTTCATCCCTCCACTGTCATTACATGAGCATGGAATCCCACACTACCACTCTGCAATGGTTTAAATACAACCTGCAGCAGCTATAAGTATAGATCTCAGTTGTTTACAGGTGTTGATTTTGTCACTCCCTTCCTGTGTTTGTTTGCGTGTGTACTCTTGTTTGCATACAGCGAAACCATGAGCGCGGAGCAGCGTCTCCTCAGTATCCCCGAGCTCAGCCACCACCTGGCTGAGGGCTACCTGACCTGCTGCCTGTACCTGCAGGAGACGTTGCAGTACAAACGACAGAACCACGGCAAGGTACAGCACTTTGACTCGCAGGGAGCCGAGCAAACAACATAGCTGAATAAACGATAAACAGCGTAGATGTCTACCGGCGGACTACAAGCGTTAATTGTTAGCGTGGGAGTCTACGCAGCACGTTGCACACTGTGTGATGTCTGCAGGTGCTGCGGGGGCGAGAACTCACCCAGACATTCTTCGTCTGTCGTACACAGACACACCTGCAGAGATGCTGCTTTTTCACTTCCTCATCTTGTAACCCTTTGCGAGGTGTGGCTGCCTAATTTCTCTTGCTCGTTCTGTTTCCCAGTTCTGCGTGATGATGTGCAGTGGCTGTTTTGTACTCGCCGTGGTCGGACATTACGTACCAGGAATCATGATCTCCTATATTATAGGTGAGTCACCCCTTTAGTTGTCTAATTGATTAAAAAAAAAAAAGAACCTGTTGCACTGAAGCCCTGAACTTCCATCGGATTGTGTGCTTCTCATGACAAACAGAGGGTGTTGTCTATATTAGGTACTAATAGCAGTTAATGGAGTAATTACATTCTGTTGTGGTTTTGCATTTTTTGTATTTACTAAATATCGAGATATGCTTTTGGTGCATTTTAATATTTAATAGATGATCCTTTTAAAATTTGTAATCTAGTTTTCACGATCTGAGCACTTTACACAGAAAGTCGGTCAATTAAAGGAACTTTACAATACAATACAGTCTGTGTGCATTTCATGCTGGTGTAGAATAAGAGCAGTATAAAGTTACCAGTGTTTTGTCTTTGCACCTGTTCAGTCCTGAGCGTGCTGCTGTGGCCGCTGGTGGTTTACCACGAGCTGATCCAGAGGATGTACACGGGCTTGGAGCCGATCCTGATGAAACTGGACTACAGCATGAAGGGCGATACCGAGCACCGCAAGCACGACAAGAGGAGTGAGTGCTACTGTTACACCTTCCTTCAGGCTACGGATACAGGCCTCACTTGTGTGCTGTACATGAAATGAATCCGGCCGCTACTAAAACACGCGCTCGTGTTTGTAATATTAATACAGGACGTTGGCCTAGGAGGAGGAAGTGTTACACGAGGAGCTTGAGTTTGGAATTGACGTTGATCACCCTTTTTTCCCCACGTACTGATACCCAACCTGAGACATAAAACCATGCAAATACAGAAAGAAAAGCCGTTGCAACACCACGTGTTACATTGTGTAAATAGAACGGTGTTGAATATCAAGAGAGTGTTTAGAGATTATATTCTATACTCTGGTTATATTTGTACCTAGATCCCATATCTCTGTCTAAAAGCATGCCTAGCCGTAGCATAAGACAGAGTGCCACTCTCTGTTTGAATCAGTTCTGAATTCCCTTTATCCGGGGTGACATTTCAAAACCTGTGTTTCAACAGAGGTGAAGAAGGAGATGGAGGAGGGGGACGAGCCAAGAGCTGAAACGGAGAGCGAGAGCGAGGAGGAGCTGTCCTGTTTCGCCCCGACGGTACGGACACACACCGGGAAACTCAACCCACAATACACTGCGACACACAGTAGACTTTTAAGAGGGTGTGTGTATAACATACAGAGGAAGCAGCAGGATAGTGGGGAGCAGAGAGGGTTGTCTGTAATGTCAGGTATTCAGTCTCTGTGCAGTGTCTATGGAATGAAATAGGACCTGCAGAGCGCAGTGTAAACTTTAAGAATTTAAAGGGTAAATAACTTGTTTGCTGCTGTGACTTCCAGCCCCGGTTGTGTGTTAGCAGTGATGTAACGCTGTGGTTTTGTCGGTCAGGTGGACGTGAAGACCACGGCTCTGGCGATGGCCATCACGGACTCTGAGCTGTCAGACGAGGAGGCATCCATCTTGGAGAGCGGAGGGTTCTCAGTGTCCCGAGCCACCACTCCCCAACTCACTGACTTCTCTGAAGGTAAAAGATCGTATCAAGCCTGAGCGAAATGGTATTTTCAGCTAATAGAACAATGAAAACGAAACACTGAATTTGTCAAAGAAAGACTATTAAGTATGTCTGACTGTTAATAAAATGTTGTCCATAAAATCTGTCACTTGCTTGTCAGTTGACTTAGATTTCTTTTGCTGGCTCCTCTCTACGACAGACCTGGACCAGCAGAGTTTACACAGTGACCCAGAGGAGTCCTACCTGCGGGATCTCCCAGAGTTCCCCTCAGTTGAGGAGTTCCCGTCCATCGAGCACAACCTGCTCCACTTCCCTCTGCGGGGACCCGGCCAGGGCGACGGAGGCCAGGCCGGCGCTCAGTCAGAGGGGGAACTGTTGAGCCCCGCCAGCCTCCTTATCCAGCACCTAGCATCTCCGCTCCACTTTGTGAACACGCACTTCAACGGACACGGACGACCACCTGGGGCCGAGGAGGGCATGTTGCCCGTGCCAACTGCAGCGGAGGAAGCGGGGAGGCAGAGAGAGGACGCCGCAGCAACCCAGGGCACACAGCAGTCTTTGGAGGCCTTGAGCGAGGAGATAGTGAGCACAGCCATCTCCACTGTGGTGCAGAACACACTGTCAGCCCTGTTGCGCTCTAGCGAGGCCAGCGAGGACCCCTCCCTGGCCGAGTTCCTTCCCACCGAAACCCCACCGGGCGCTCTGGAGACCTCCGCCCAACCCACCGACACCGCTGCTAACACTACAGTTACTACAATAGGGGCGCTGGGGGCCGACGAGGACCTGGACGAGGCGATCACGTCAGAAAGCGGCGCCGGCGAGGAGATGCCCGACGACACACTAGTTCCCACCGAGGAAGAGGACTTTGAGCTTCTGGACCAAAGTGAACTGGAGCAGGCGGACGAGGAGCTGGAGCTCAGCTCTGACAGACAGGTGGTGGGAGGAGCTCCAGAGACACCTCCATCTCAGCATCAACCACAGTCATAGCTTCCCCCGTTGCCTCCCCCGTTGCCCCCCCACCTCCAGCTGTTTTGTTTTTATTTGTACGTTAGAAATACATTATAGCCATACATACTGGTATATACAAAACATTTATCAAAAGAGCGTGGCGTTTAATACTGTTGGGTGGTGATTGTGTGGCAGATGGTTGAGATTACTCGGTGTGTTCTGCTTTCAAAGGGTCTGTCGAGCCTCGGTACCGGAGTCATTTCTAGTCCAGGACCATCACATTATCGGGATCGTCGGCTGCTATCAGGCGGCATTCACACTGACGCAAGCTTTGATGCGCACACTTGCATACACAAACAGAAATCATAAGTAATGCATTTCGCGGTCGCAGTTTTTTATTTTTTTTTTAATTTCTTTGTCTTTTTGTGTCGTTACACTGCTTGCTCGCCTGATGGTACCTTGGTCATGAGAGCAGGTTCAGGGCGGAACCGGCTTTGGGTTCACGGTCCGAGAGACCTCATTATTGTCACGGGTCGCAAAGCGTTTTCTCTCCGCCTGATCCTCTAGCATTGAGATGAAACCGTCACCCTGTCCCACGTCCAGTCTCACAATAAGGATGCCTTTTATTTTCTACCTTGGCTAACCCTTCCACCTTGTTTTCGTTCAGACGCAGATGTTTATCTAGATGGTGTTACGAAGAGTTGAAATGTTGGATTATATAACTATTAATATATGCTATAAATTATTTAATTTAACGGTCAGTCGATGAAACTTTATCGTTGAGCTGAGGGGGAAGTTTAAATTGAATCCCCCTCGGTTGCCCGTAATGATTGTATGAGAATTGTTTTAATGACCACCATTGAACGTGCAGGTTTGAAATGTAGTTACGTATTCCCAGAGTTAAAACAATAGTATTATCCTTCACTTTTACCCTCCAAGGTTCCAGACGCATTCAGTCATTAGTGGTCTTTCACTTGTTGCCTGGAAATGGAAACTTAAGTCTTTGACATTGTTGGATGTTGACAAGTAGTAGATCTTTACCCATACACATAAGTGACTTTGATGTAGCAAGATAAAAAAAAAAAAAACGTTCCTGAACTTCCTCTCTGTCATCGATGCCTCATTTTTATTCATACTTGTGAATAGAAATTTGAGTTCACGCACCCATACGTAATGGAATTTACTCTTGATCTTTGGCTTCTTTGGGAGATAGGCCCCGACCTATTTGTACATGTATAGTCATCATTGAGATATGTATATTTACCAAATAACCTCCTTTGTGCCACGACAAGTCCGTGCATGCCATGCATCACGCATGTATTTACCATCATTAACATTTTGAGGTCAATGTGTTACTTCCACTGGAGCGGATTTTCTTTCTGTTTTTGGAGGGAGAACAGATAACAGATGAATTACACATTATGTACCTGGTCGCTGTTTGGAGATTTGTGGACAATTGTTGACTCGACTGTATAAAGAGGCCGGTTTTGCTTTTGTAAACCACTCAGCATCCAAATCTCAGGGGTGGGTTGTACAAATTGAATATAGCATCGCAGAATGTGTGTCCATTTCCCCGACTTGTCGTAGTGCATCGTATTTGTACTAACCTCTCCCTTCTTTTTTTTTTTTTTCCTTTTCAATCAACGCCTCCTTGTGTATAGTGTAGAAATGCTAAAACAAACAAAAAAAAAGAACGTGTATATTCTGCATGTAAAAACAGCACTGTTCAAAGTTCTCCTTGTCAAACTGACAAAGTACTGCACAATTTGTGAGGGAAAAAAAACAACAATTTGAATGTTTCAGGTTAAAAGAGCCCATTAAATTCAGTTTGTTTAATATTTAATTACCAACCGGAGGAATACAAGTTTTGATGTGTCCTCATTTTTAAAAGACTACCCAACTGTAAATGGAAACGGGTGGCAAGTGATAATAACATCAGATTTAGAGAAGGATATTAACAGACTAGTTTGTGTATGGTAGTAGTGTGTTATACGCTTAAAATATTGCTTCTTGAACTATAAAAAAAGGCACTTACTGAACTGTACAATTTTAAAAAAGGAATATATTTTCTAATTTCTCCTTTTTCCATAAAGTACTCAGTTTGATCTTTTACATCTAAAAAAAAATGTAACGGCTATGGATGAGTTTCACAGGGCGGGAAAAGATTTATTGTCATTAAACTGGTAAAAAATAAAACTGCAACTTCACATGTGAAAGTAAGAGAATAAAAGAACAAACTGAAACAAATATTTCCCTTTGATCGTGACTTCTAACCTGTGTTTTTTTCAGTCTGTGTTGTCGATACGCAAGTCATTTCTTCTAGGTTTACAGGAAAATCTTAACAAAGCAAGTTTTTAATATCAAGCGTCTTCTTCATTCAGGACAATCGTGCGATTTTTCTGATCCAAGTTCTTTTTCCTGTGAAAGAAAAACCTGTTACTCAAAAGTATTTTTTTATAAACACCATATGTGTAAGCGGCAACAACATATTGCAGCTGTTAAAGTGTGCTGTGCAGCATCCCTCGATATTTTTGTGACTTTGCGTTAGGCATGGGACGATATGAAAATCTCACCTCACGATTATCTTTACCAAAATAATTGAGATTCACAATATTGTCGCGATAATCGGCAAAAGTATTCCCACGCATCCGGTTTAACTTTTTTGTGGGAGATGCAATTGGCAAACAAAGCTTTCAGGCATGGCAATTCAAAATAAAATCAGAAAATCAATATAGTATAGGTGTAATAAATGTTAGCAAGCTCGACAGCTTTTTCAAGTCACTTGTAAGGATATTCGTGATATACTTAGGAGTGTTTTTTTTTATCGCGATACACAAATATATCGTCCCATCCCTCGCTGACATACCTCCTTGAGTTCCCTTGCAGAGAGCTGAAGTCTCTCCTTCAACTCGTCTCCGACAGTCACGTCAGACAACACAGACCATTTGCCGTCTGTGAAGTTGACTGGAACAGAGAGGACGATGCCAGCTGGGAGACCGTAGAAGCCTACAAGCAGCCAAAGACGATCGCATTTCAACTCCAGCTAGATCAGTCAAAATCACAGCTAAGATCGGGATTTGGATCCCGCATTTAAAACCAGAATGGAAATCAGTGATGCTTTTTCAAAACAATGTCATATCATTTTTGTCACACATTGTGCTTGACTGTGTCTTCACCTGAGCAAAGTACACCCACAGAGAAGACCTCATCTGGACCACAAATGCCATTCCAAGCCTTGAGGACCGCAAGGATCCCATTGGCGAGCGACATTGCAGCTGCTCGGCCGCTCTTTGAAGCCACAGCTGCACGCTGAAAACCTACCAACTCTTGAAAGTCTGTTTGCAACCATTTCCTGGAAGAGAGAAGGAGATTATTGGCTTTTTTTGGCAGATCCCAGGACAGGATGTTTCTGATCAGAGCAGAAAGACTGCTGAGTCAGTACTGTGCAATCAACGCTGGCACACACTGGAGTCGCAGCAGGGTACAGTTTGATGGGCCGTTGTGTAAGTTGATAGCAGATGAGTGCCAGACCTTATCATGTGTTGTTTGTTTAGCCTGCCAAAGTGACTGATGGGTGGAGTTAACCACTACACTCAATAAAGATAAGCCATTAATCTAGTGCACACAAAGCACACAAAGAAATAATGAGCCATACTTTTGAACCAGGAGTCTCAAGCACATGAATGCTTAGTGAAATCCTGTTACAAACCTGTCATGGAGGATCTTTTGGATCGGCTGGGAGAAGAAAGCCGGACCTTTGATTGCCCCACCATAGTTGAAAACCTTCGCCCTCTGCAGGTCGATGTAGAAACTACCACTGATGTTCCCCCAGACGATGACGTCTGTGATATCTAGAGCAGGAAAGAGACCGTGCTGAGACGTTGTGGAAACATACAGGAGGTAAATGTGAATCAGCTTCACCAAACAGAGAGAGTTCACAGTAGCCACCTGAAGTCTTCACTTTCAGCTTCTTCGCAATGACGGCCCTGGCTTCATTCTCCAGCTGCGTTGCCATGGTGACAAACTGGTGGCTGTCGATGGAGCGTGCGTTGTCCAAAAGGAGCGAGCATCTCAGGTTGGCACAGGAGTCACCGGACACGATCACCTTCACCTCCTTGTTGGCCCTCGAGTCCATCAGCTGTCCGTACTCTCTGTACCTGTCTGAGATCCCCTTTACCTTCATCTTCTTCTCCTCATCCTCATTCTCTGTGTCGCTGTCTTCAGACCAGCACTCATCCAGCAGTAGAATGACATCCGCTCCCTGGAAGGCCTGTCCCAGATCTGTGTGGATGGTCACCTGTGGATAAATACAGTTAGATCCCTCTGGTGTGGTTAAAAGGGAACATTTCTTTAAAATAATACTATACTTGATGGAGCAGACGAAGTGCCAGGTCCTCTGTCTCCATCCTCAGCTGCTGCAACCCCTCCTTGCTCCCATCAAGGTCCAGTAGGTGGAGGTTGATAGCAGAAACGTGGGGGAACACCTCGGCAGAGAGCAGGCTGGGGATCAGGAAGTGGCAGGTGGGGCTGAGAGCACTGGGAAGGTAGGGAAAATGAACACCTGATCTGTCAGCGGATAGATTGTATAAGTGTAACCGTTTGGTTGTTTTGCAGACCAACCCACCCGCTGATCCATATGTGAAGGGGTTTGATAAGGCTCGCACGATGCTGCTCCTCCACGATAAGGTTCATCTTGGTTTCCAGATTCTCTGCTGCAACGCTCAGCATTACATCTGTTGGCATGTCTGATGTGATGCTGTAGTAACCCTGCACAAGCATCCAGTAAAGAATTTGGAAGGTGTGGAAGTTGATAGGGATTTTAATTAGGAGCTAAATGCCTACCTGACAGTGCTCTAGGAAGTCACTGAAGCCCCCTATGAGCATCCCTTTGCCCCCTTGGGCCACCAGTTCCCTCCAGATCAAAGGGGACTGCTCGTGTTTCCACCCGTTTCTATTGCAGGTGACCTCCAGCCATTCCTAGCAGTGAGAGGTCACATTGAGGTGGCAAATAAGTGGAAAAATATATACTCGTGATTTGCAAATATAATAATATAAAAGATAATTTATAGAGTATTACCGTCCATTCATCTGGGAGGATGGAGATCTTGTGGATCCTGAAGTTCGGCAGAGATCGTTGTAGACTGTCTGCCAATAGTTCCGCTTTGGCATAATGGGGACAGTCTGTTTTGCCTGGAGAGGTTTAAATGTTAGGAATCAGAAATAGGATGTTTCGATGTAAAGATAATTGCTAAAAGATAAAAAAAAAAAAGAAAAGTCAAACTTTACCCGCAAGCACAAATTGTGCCATTCTATCCGGTTGGCGTTGGTTGCCTAGAAACTGTGGGTGTCGCGCTTATTTGAGTCCGTGTAGAAAGCGCCAAAACACGAAACACACCAGAACGTCTTACAACAACCGCGAGACCTATGTTTTAAAAACGTCACAGGTCGGTGTTATTAACCGTAACAAATATAAACGTGAGATACTTCATACTCACAATAAACACTATTTTTGACAGTGCGTGTTGACAGGGGGACTGAATATGGCGGCGCACACAGCACGAAGCACCGTGTGAGCATGCTGGCTAACACTCAGTGGACTACCTGTGTCTTTTTTTAAGTGTAATGTAACTTAGCTCCGTGTCTCTTCGCTAAACCACCTTTTTCCTGCGAGATGGCGCAGCAACGTGTAACGTCGGGGCAATTGTTTTCCCGGTTAGAGTTGTGAGGTAGGGGGGCAACAGCTAATGTAAGCTAGCCGGTGTTTTCATCATTTAGGGGAGGTGTGTTGACCTTGCTGGCAGCTTAGTTCTGGTGCTTTGTAATACATCATTTCTAGTAACTACGTGCACAAAACAGTACGCAGGGATGTGTGTGGGAACAGTCGGGTCTTTATAATATTTAGTTAACGTTTTAACGTTAGCTAATTGAGTAAAAGTTGCCATTATTTTGATTCAAGCTACATAGTTTGTTAGTTAGCAGCTATTCGCTGGAGTTAAAAGACGCTGTTGTGTCTTGTGTCTGTTGTTTTTCCTTCTTTTTGGCGTCTCCAAAACGAGGACAATGTCTCTCTGGGCTGCAGAGGAGGTCATGAGACGGGGCATGCGCCTTGGCTGCCGCAGGTCTCTATGGCAACAGCGCAGCTTCCTGATGACAAGCAGAGACGCATCTTTCCATAGTCAGCAGCTGGCACACTCTGTGGTCACAAGGCAAAGCCTGGCCAGGAGTCCGGTCAGCTCAGTGAAGTTTTACTCACAGGACAGGATTCACAGTGAGGACCTGGAGGTGAAGGAGCATCTCTTGGAGTCTCCGCTGCCTGCTGAGATCCGTTCTGATGAGACTGCCTCGAGTCAGACACCGAAGAGCTCCACTTTCCGTGGCCAGCTGCTGCGATTAGGCTCCCCGTCGGATGTGTTGGACTTCACCTGCCAGAACGTGCCCACAACTGAACAGATCAGCGTGACCCTGATGTACATGTGGTCCACGATTAAGAAGATGTCGACCGATCAGCAGCGCTACGAGCTGCAGCTGATGTTGGAGCATCCTGCATTCGAGAGCCTGCTGCAGTTAGCCAAGAAGAATGTGGGGAAGATGTGCAGTGACGATAAGACTTATTCTCTCATGGCTATGATCAAGCTGGGTGTCCCCCAAAATAGCCTCGTGGTGCAGACTTTCCTCCAAGCCTGTCAGGTAGGCAGGGAAAGATTGACCGCAATGTTTTCACACTGTTTTTGTTCTGTCGTTTAGTTCTTTTTGTAATGTGCCTTTTTGTCCACTACCAGGCGGAACTGAATAGCTTTACTGAGAAGAGCCTAGCCATCTTGGCCGGCTGTCTGAGAGATATGGAGGAAACCCCCAACGTCGCTGCACTTAAGAAGGGCATGGCGTAAGTGTTATCAAAATATGCACATGGGTGCGACATTAACGCATCAGACAAAAACGTTGTCTTCTAAATCACTATATAGATATTTACCACAACCTTTTCAGAATTATTTACATTGCTGTGTATTGTGGCTTCGTCCTAGGCTGGTAGTTGATATACGTCTTCCCGGGATCAAGAGCGTCGTGGCTCTCCAGACCATGATGCAAATGTTGGGGAAAGATGCCCCACTCAACCTCAAAAACAAACTAGGGGTTGGTTTATGGTTTTGACCAGATTTGGTATTCATTTCCCCCGCATACCTCCCTGTCATTACAGTTTAAAGCCTCTATGATGTGTAATTATTGCAGGATTTAATGGTTTTAGATTTTTATGAATGATATTCCAATTGTTTATCAAAAATATATATATAAAAAAAACATAATATCTATATCATATCATCTTTCTCTTCGAAATATTGTAGTGTTTTTGAACTATAGACCAAAAATAACCTGTATTTCCATTCCACATTAACATTCATTCTTCGCACTGCTTCCCCCAGAAAAAGGCTTTATCAATGTCACACCAGTTCAGCCTTCCCAACGCCCAGTACATGATCTCCATTATGGCCACAATGGAGTACTGCCCCAAACCGCTGATGGACATCTGCTGTACGAAGATCAGAGGTAAAACCTTTTCCACAAGATACAAATATTTAAATGCTTTGAATATGGGTTCCAGGAGTGATCACAAAATTGGAAAACGTAAAAGACTTCTGTTTTATAGTATTACCAATCGGCTTTCACCTCTCTCCCCTCGGGTAGAAAACATCCCCGTAATTCCCTTCTGGAGGTTGTTGACAGTTCTGCAGTCGTGCACGAAGCTGAACTACAGAGACTTGAATCTGCTCGCCGACGTTTCCGAACACATCGCCTCCACGATAGACATGTGGACCAACAAGCAGGTGCTGCAACACTTCTGTGAAACGATACACATTCTTAATGCTACAGACAGCTGAGCAAGAATCTACCAGAAAGCAGTCGGTAACATGTTCCATTTGTGCTCAGTTGGCCCTTTTCCTGACTGAGTTCGAGAGGAACCTCTTCTGTCCCGCTGCCCTAATGAAGGTGTTTGCTGAGAAGGTGATCGCCAGTCCAGACAGTCTGACATGTCATGTTCTCCTCAGTGTCCTCCGGGTGTACTCTTCACTAAACTATGACCTGCAGCACCAAAGGCAACAGTAGGTCTTAAATTTGACTTTGGCTCACAGCTAACTCAAAAAACGATGTCATCCGTTGTTTTTTTTAGCTTGCTGTTATTTATTACTTACAGAAGTTGTTCACTTTCAGTTTACTTTAGGACCCTTTCACTGGGCTCAAGCCTTTCAGATTGTTGGTTTCAGAAAGCAGCTCTGTTTCACACTGTGTATATATATATAATCAGCTTTTACTGTCTTTAGACAGCAGAAACTGGCTAACAACCTTTTATGATAATTTTTTTCTCATTAAGTTCAACAGATGTTCCCTAGCCATGGGTAGGAATCCGACCTGTGGCCCTTAGCTGCGTGTCATCCCGTCTCGCTCTCCGGCTGTCCTATACAATAAAGCGGAAAAAGCCCGCCCCAAAATATATTTCCACGCATCCTTAGAATTTTTTTTTTCAGTCATGAAAACACCTGGAAACTAATTAAAATATCCAGGAAATAATCTGATTTGTCCTGGAAATATTTTTCTTTTCTCAACCTGGGTGTACATTTAGTTTGAAACTCAACTGAGAGGATAAGCTGCACGATATGACAGTTAAATGTGTCAATATTAGGCCTACCAGTGAATTATATGACTGTTTCTGAGAAGTGCTATCCTGTATTGTCAAGAAGAACTACCGGAAGGACCTGGAAAATGAAAACTGAAAACGTGTTCCTATCTAACAGTAGATGTTGCATAGCTTTCATGAGCTTTGGTTTCCAGGCTTAATGAGTTTCATCTTGTTGTTCCAGGTTCCTGGATAGTCTCACCCAGGCTCTGGAATCTTATCTTACCAAGATGTCTGGTTTTGAGTTGTTAAAGGCTGTGTACGGTCTGTGTGTAATGGGCCACTACCCCCCCACGCTGGTGGAGCAACTCCTGAAGAGCAGCACGCTGGAGCAGTTTGAGACTACATGTAAGACGATGTGCACCAGTCATTTTCTACCTTGTGTCTTCTTATTCTTCACATTTCCCTTGCAGTGTGATTCGTAAACCTCATCCATCTGCACCCCCACTGTTTCTCTCCAGCGCCCAAGTTCCTCCACTACCAGGAGTATATGTTTCAGATAGTGAACTTGTGCCTCCGTCTTGAACGCCCTCCGCTCCCTCAGCCCCTGACTGTTCCTCCGTCTGCCCTGGGAGCCGTCGCCCCCCCCCCCAATCCGCCAGTCAACCTGAAGCTCTCGCAGGGTCTGCAGAGTTTGTTGTTGGACCAGGCAGACACGACGCTGCAGGAAATGGTGCTCGTGGAGAACTATTACGTCATAGGTAAAGACAGAAGAGAGGCAGGCTTATAGTTGTCGCTAATATCAGATCATTGTGTCTGCATTTAGTTCTTTTATCTTATAGAAAGTAGCTACAACACAGATGTTCAACTCATTTTGAAGGTGCGATGTTAAACAAGTGCCTGTGTTGTGTGTGTCAACTCTCAGATGGTTTGATAACCAGACCTCTGCCACACCAATCCTCTGCGACTGAAGCAGGTAGTCATGCAGGAGACGAGCGCTCTCCAGCAGAGAGCAGTCAAAGGTAAGGCATTGGAATCAGCTTGCAGCCGATAACGTCACCAGAATCTGCGGAGGTGTTGCACTTTTTTTCTTTTTTTTTTTGATTTAACGGGGCTGATGTCATGTTTGGTAAAGCTGACTGACAATGTCGGGCATCGACGCACGCCATGGTTGCATAATGCATACATACATACGCAATAGAGGGTACCTAAGACGGTCACAAGGAGCTACCTTAGGTCATAAAATTGTTTTCTGAAAGCAGGACTGCGTGTTACTTGTATGTAACACCACAATTAAATCCCATTTTGAACTCGTTTAAAGGTTTGAAGTCCAACTTTCAGTCACTTGCTTTGGTTGTAAACAACTTAAGATGTGTTAAAAAAAACATCATCATAAACATAAACGCATCAGGAAGACCCGCTACTCTAAACAATATATAAATAGACAATAAGACAAAGACAAGCTCTTCATGATATAATAATTTAAATATATGATATCCAGTGGCTTAAATACAGTTTACTGATTATTTCACAGTTGTAATTAAACATACTTTGTTTGATTACTCCAACACTGTAACAGTTACAGAGTATTTAATTACTTTAGGATTACCCTGGTTCATCACTATAATTACTATATTTCAATTAGTTTACAAACATTTAAGTTCTCAGTTTCACTCCAGTGTGATTCTCCTTTAACCGTTCTTCTAGAATTACCCAAAAGCAATCAAAAAATGACTTAATTACTTTCATTAAAACACTGCAACGATCCAGTCTTACACCCAACCTGTTAGTTACCATAGTCATGTTCTTCATAGTCATGTCTGTTTCACTTCAGCATCCGCAGACCTCAAAGACATGTCAGCACAATTTAACTGATGATTTGTGTGTTCAACCCTGCTTATAAAACCTGCCTCCATGTCTTGTGGTGCTTCTGGCCTGTCCACATTTTGAATACTGGGACTTTAACCTCCAATTATATAATTTATTTCTACATCAGTTTAAAATCTCAACTCAAAAGATGCCATTTTAATACAATTTTAAATCAAGTTTTACTGTATTCTTATGCAATATGTCTGGGCAGTAAATTCCGTCAGTCATTCAGTTCTTTAATTAAAGTAGAATTTTATTGAACCTGCTGGTGCGATTTTTACCCATACAAATTCAATACAAATGTTGAATCATACAAACGTAAAACACTTTTTAAAAATGCATTAAAAAAAGTAGAATTAAAAGGAAATTTGAAACATGGATTCAAATAAAAGTACAATAACGCTACTGGGTAAAGATCTGTAGTTGCGTGTGTGTCAAAGGAAGTCAGTCACGGCACTGTCTTACTGAAAATAAAGCCACAATATGCTCCGTATACTGTGGATTTGTGCCTTCCAATGATATTCTACCAACCAGACATCCACTTTCATACTGTCATACCTGTACGCAAATTCAAATTTTGACCTTTTTTTTTTTTAAAGCTACCCTTGTCTTGATGTCCTAGAATTGCAGTAATTTGCACGAGGTACGCTGGTTTTTGCCATGGTACGTCCAATCCCCGTGGCCCTCTGGCTGTCAAGATTCGCCATCTGAAGATCCTGGGATATGACCCTGTCTTGGTGAGACTCACAGATGATTAAAAAAAAAAGTTTGAGTTTGCCCCTTGTATTTCTAAGGGTCCAGCAGTTACTGACACTTTACTAAGCATTATAATAGTTATACAATTTAAAAATCTGTTCTTCTACACTAAAGTTGTCCCTTTTCAGTGTTAGAGTGTTAACATTTTACTGTCCAAAATGTCCACTGGAATGAATAATGAACTAATTTCCTCAATTTCCGTAGTATGCTCCCCAAAACAAACAAAAATCAGTGTTGAGTGCATCTCAGTGATGGCGAGGTTTATATAATCCTATTCCTGTTCTCTCAAGGTGCCGGACCAGGAGCTACAGTCCGTGTCAGAGGAAAAGATGACGGAGTTCCTCAGGGAACGGATTTTTCCATCACACGAAAGCCTGGACACACAACCCAAAATGGAGCAACTGGACAGATGTTAAACGGATGCCAAGTGCCATGCACGGTTCTCAACCTGTTCAATCGTCATGAACACACAGATTTTTTTTGTGCTTTGTGTAAACAATTAAGAAGGAATAAATATATGAAAATATTTAAATAAATGATGTCCCTGGATAAACTGAGCTCAAAACCATCTGTGGCACACATGAACTGTTATTTTAACCCCCTCCCCCTATTCTGTAAAAGTTCATCTGTCTGTCAGTAGTTGATGAGTAAGACCTTGCTGCTGAATGAAACCAATAAAACCAGGGTGCGTGCTTGCAGTAACTGCTCAGAAGCTGCAAGGTGAGCGAGGTGAAGGTAGAGTCCCTTTGAAGCAGCCACATCTGCACACAGCGCGAGGGAAGGAGAAGAGGCAGGGAGGAAGACAGGAAACGGTGCAGATTGTTATTGTTTGAAGCGTGACGCTCCCTGTTGTTTATCTGGTTCTCATCGACCTTGCCGATTGTTAACTCTGAGAATACATTCTGATTTCTCAGAAAGAACTGCATGCAAAATGTAAGAAAAGGAGTGAAACCAAGCCACTTGATATTTTCACTTTTGGCCCCTGTAGTTTAGCAGACCTTTAACGGCTTCTGGGTTTTGTTTTTTTTCTGTTATGAAACTGTGGTCACTCTTATCCACATGAGCTTTGATTGTGGTTAAATCCCCCTTTTCAGGCACCACCTTCTGTTTCAACCACAAGAAGAAGGGGGTTACAACTACAGAACTGTGAGTGTGACAGAGATAATAGTGAGGAACTGACTGAAACAGGAAGTGAGCAAAACCAAAAGTGTTAGGTAAGAGGTTTTTTTTTTAATTTTAGTTTTTTTTTTTAACCAATAGAAAACTGCTACTTTTGCTGTGTGGACACAAAACTACTGACAACAGACAACAAAAAGTCTCGATCACTATAATGTTCTCCTCAGTGCAAGCTACTACAAAGACTCCCCTTTGTGTGTATCTAAATGGTTACATCAGGCACGGGCAGTCAGAAGTGTTTTGGTATAGGATTCTGAACCCCCCTTTTCTTCTTGCGGTCCCGGGGCGCTTTGGGTTTGGTGTTCATGTAGTCACTCTGGGAATCCGTCCTCCTCAACTTTATCTGTAAGACACGTGAAAAACTGTTAAACCACAGCTGTTAAACACTGTTATGTGTGTTCGTAATGTGCCACATACAGTAGGAAAATGTGGATGTGAATGTGGGTTTTTTCAGGAGGAAGTGTTGCTTATGTTTCATAATTTAAAGGTTACATGATGTGGGACCGGTTCCAACATTTTTTAGCTGAGTATTTTCAGGCCAAGTAAAAATATGGACAAATACAACAACAAAAACTGAATTTAAGTCATTTAAGTTATTTTTTGATGAATTAAAAACAAATAAGAAAATAAAGCAGTTTATAAAATAGCACTGCACAATTTAAAGAAATATAGCAATATTTAAATTGCAGAAGCTGTCATTTGTTTTATAGATGTTTATCCAGATGTAAGAAAACATGTTTTGTCACCTATTTAATGTTAATTTAATTTTTTATTCTGTGCTGCAAAACACAATATCTGTGTTTTTTTCAAATTGTGCAGCCTTAATTAAAGAAAAGAGAAAATTGTACAGAAGTCTTTTAAAGAGAGATCAGCCCCATTTCTGCAAAGATGTCAAATAAAAATGTGTATGTTTCAAACGTTTTTCGTATTTTTGGAACATCATACCCAGTTGACTATGGCAATGATGGTGGCAGTTGCACCGTAGATGCTGACACCTACAAAAGCCAACATCCAGGGAAGTGCAGTGGTTTGCTCTTCAGGTACATGGTCGCACATTTCTGGGTTGCATTGGTGTCCTGGAAGAAACATATTCAGTAAGTATCCACTACTGTGTACACCAAAAAAACCTGCACCTCTCTTAGGAATGTTTACCTTTTATAAGTAACAGGATCTTCAAGTCATTTGATGTTCTTTTCAGGGGAGGAGGGAAAAAGACTTGGGTATCACATCTGTAGATACCATGGCTGCTGGCGTTCACCCCCCTGAGCATGTAACTGACCATCTTATTGTCTGCGTAGTTATCCAATTCCATGCCCACCATGATGGGGTGTGATGATGGGTTTGATGATGGGTTTGATGGCGTACAGTTTAGTACATTTTCTTTCTTGTCGCACAGGTATTCATAGATTTGTTTGTCCCCCTTATAAAGGAAAGTTTTGAATTCTTCTCCCGTCATATTTGGGCAAGGCACAAACACGTTGTTTCCGGCAGCTTCACAGATGGTTTTCAGCTGGTCTGGACAGGGAAAACGTGTTAAGGATTCAGGGTGCAATTTCCCTCTGATTTCTGATAATGGAAGTCTCTTACACACAAATAGTAGAATCTTACATCTCTGATTAGGTGTCATGGGCTTGCAAAGCTTTGTAAAAACCCTGCCCATATGACCTAAAACTTGCAGTGAGCACATAATAACTTTCCACTTTCAGCAGATGAATGTGAAAAACATCCTTCTAGTGTCAAACTGCACATACAGCATTCTGCAGTCAAACATCACACTGTATGAACAGGAAGAGAAACTGATTTTTGACTGGAATGGAACTTAAATGATTAGAAATAGAGAAACAGTCTGCTGTTGCTGTAAACCACACCTAGACGCAATTGTCTTTTTCTGCAACCAAACACATTAGCAAAGCTCCTGCAAACATTGATTTATTTGCATTTGATTCCCCTGGCTGATATTCAGGCTATGAAACTCAAACTCGTCATTTCACGGTAACTCCACCCCCACACGGAATTTGTTCAATAACAGCACATCTAAGCACATTTACCTTTTTTCAACCAGCCTCACGCTTCACATAAAAGACATAAAAGTGGCACACTTGAGTCAGCCGCTGCCTGACTCAAGTGTGCCACTCCCAAGGTAGTGGTTTATGTCATTCAGTGCTATTTTTTTGCATGGGTTAGTGTTAAAATTAACACCTTCTGCACTCTATGTAACCAGCAATTGCCCTAAAGTTTATTTTGAATTGTATTAAAGTGTCTCAACCCACAAATAGGCATATTCAGCCAGCATTAGGAAACTATGAGGGTCATCTTAGGTCACAGTGCCCCATATAGATGAGAGAGATTAGAAAAAAAGTAACATTTCCAGCTCATAATTAGTATTCTTAGTGGTAACTAATGCCTGATCACTGTGGGCATATGTACTGAAAGCTAGAATGTATGTGTTGCAGTACAACTCACCGCTGCCGGCGCTCTGAGACTGAGCGGTATGTAGTAATCTGCAGCCCACGAGGATCACGAGCATCCAGCAGGCACTCATCTTCCACTTCTGCACCGCCGAGAGTGTGAGCTCGCCTCCAGCAGAATGATGCCGTCGAGGCTCTCCCTCATCACCTAAAGCGTCCACCTCATCCAACAGTCTACGTTTGCTGTGTGGTGCAGAGAGATATGATCCGTTACTCTGATATCATCAACTCTGGTTCCATGCGACTGTAATGCATGATATCCTCGCTCTGCCTCTGATTGAAGCACTCCCACGGTGCTGCACTGACTGAAACTTACACATTCTCTCTTCGAGGAAAACATCCTGTGGCAGAAACTCCTCCTCTTCTCAAGTTTCCGCTTGCTCCTGAAATTTGTGACCTTTGATGCCCTAAAGATTTATTAAGATAAGACTTAAGTTTGGACCAAACAGTGCTGTTCCTATCAAGTAAAGAACACTGGAAGCTGCATATTTAATGCAGTGTTTTTTTTATTGTTTCATTGTGTGTAGACAAATATGTGTCTGTGTTACCTGTAGTTACTTCTTGTTAATACCCTTAAGGCGTCTGTAAAGAGTGCAGGCGTTGGGCATGGTGTACAAATGAGCACTGCAAGGTAAACTATAGAAAATATACTCTGTATTGTCTGCTGTGTGTGTGTGTGTATAAAAGCAGTATGAGAAGAGTAATTAATGTAGCAGCCACAGTTGGAGGTGGAGTGAGTGACCAAAAGTGCAATGACCCAGTGTACCTTGTGGAAAGGTTTTTTTTCAGGTTTGAACTAACATGCTTGTGGCTGCCAAATTGGCACTGCCTCACAAATAGACAGACGCAGCCTGGAAATATATTAAGGTTGAATGTGAAAAAGAAACTGCCTCTGTGCTTTGTGAGTCATGGGCACATGTACAGACATGTATGGCAGTGAGAAAAATAGTATTGTGTTTGTGCTGTGTGGAAATATCAGCTATAAGAGAGGGTGAATTCCCTTACATGGTGTAGTAAGACAGGATTTTTAATATTAGATTTAAAAACCCTTGACTGTGTCCACAAAATGCATTTGAGTTGAACATGCAATAGCTTTCTTGGTCCACTAGATGGCAACCAAGCATTTTATTTTGATCAGCCTGTTGATAACAAACCAGCTATCTGCTTACATTCTTATATTTTAAACAATATTTCACTGTCAGTACCTTTTCCCATGTACATCTTTACCGGCCTAGAACTGGGATTAGAGACTATAAAAGGGTAGAAAATATTTACTTTGTGTGGCAACACATGGTGACAGATTCATGGGATTGTGAAGTGGGGATTATAGCATTTCAGTTTGTAATTCTAACTCAGAAAATGGATGAGGGGGGGGGATTGGTGGGTTAGTAATGCCATGTGTCCATATGGATGACACATAATAATCTCCTAATCTGGAACAAGGCCCATTTGTCTGGTGATGGAGGCTTTAAGAGAGCATCAGCAAGAACCCATGCAGTGCATCTTACTATCTCTTTTAAACATAGTTTTACCTTTTTGTTTTCTATTATTATTATTACTTACTAGAGGGAATAGCTGTTGGTTGCTGCCTTTACTGCCCCCCCCAAAACTGCGACATTTTGGGTTTATAATATGTAAAATAAAAATTGCTCATTTAGCTTTTGTTTTTGCTTCTGAAATTGTTCAATGAAGCCTGTAACAAGATTTTTCGTTTTATGTTAGAAAACAAGGACACCAGAATGGCTTCCAATTGAAGTGGTAACGGTGAAGAGGCGAAAGTGGGTATACAATTAGCGTTTTCGCCAATGAATAAGACCAAAAAATGGGCCAAAATGTGTCAATCGGTCAACTCGGGTAACACCACAGCGTGAGTCTTTCCCAGTCACATCTGCATGTAATAGGTCACTCCTCTTCTCTGCTATCAGCTCGAATATAAGATATTTCCGACAGTCCTTGAAGGCAGCTTTTGGGATCTGGGCTGGACAGGAAACGACGGAGACGCGCAGCGTGTCTCCTCAGCAGCTCCGGGAGAGAAGAATGGGAAAGGGAATGGGACTGTGTATGTAGACGAGGCAGCGTGTGAAAACATGAAGACAACGGGCAGTTTTTAAGCTACATTCCTCTTTAAAGCACATAATTACACACATCACATCAGGAGTTTTCCCTCTTTCCCCTCCTGAGGACAGGGATATTGGCTGCCATTGGACAACAGGAGAGGAGAGGAGAGGAGAGGAGAGGACCCTCTTTGTGAATCTCATTTGGCTGTAAGTGGATTTTTCTTCACTATTCCGACACATTTAATCCTCTAACCCCTCTTTTCATGTCTTTAAATAACCACGCCAAAAGACTGAATATGTCAAATCCTAAATGAATGTCAGTTTATTTTATACAGTGGCAGCCCATCCTAGATTGTGTCCTCTGGAGAGGAGACAGAGGAGTAGCTCCACTGTTTACCATACTTCTTTAAAGACCAGTCGCTATGAAGAGACAAACCCCTGTGAGTGTGTTGTTGTGAAGTGTGTGTGTGTGTAGTGGCAGGCTGTTTGAATGAGGGGGTTTGTGTGCCCCCCTATGCGGCCATTGAACAATCCCTTTCTTGGGGAGAAAGGGCGTGCAGCGTTTGGGCCGACTTGGAAAAGAGCCGCAGCTTTTAATGGGAGAGGCAATTGAACGTGAGCCTATTGTTGTGTTGTATTTGTTAGTTATGTTGCCCAAAGCCGAGCCCTTTGGCTGAGGAGGGGAGGGGGGGTATCTTCAACCTAATTTTCCTCCCCTGCACCTAACTGAGCAGCGGGGAGATGTGTAGTCTCCACCCTGTTCAGCGGGAGGAGGCTATCTTCTGGTAATGGCCGATGCTTTTGTCGCGCTAATGTTTGTATCTTCGCGGTGGATTATTTTCTTTAAATACAACATTAAATGCCTCTAAAACGGTGATTTACCTCGGTCATGTGTGTTAACGTGACCTGGCTCGTGTCGTTATTAGCTACCACGTCCACTGCAGCTCGTGGACACTGTTTTAATGCCCTTTGTTGGATGACGCCGCCGGCACTGGATTGGTTAACATGTAGCCAGTTTGCCCAGTGGCTATCCCCAGTTTGATGCTAGCCATCCACTTTAGTTAGTTAGCATGCAGACTATGCAGTGTGTGTAGCTTTTATTTGTTCACGCATAGTGAAGCCTGGTGGAAAAGTTAAAGCCCCCTCCCAGACATATACAAATAGTCTGCTGGGAACAATAATGTGTCTTTTTTTTCTGGAAAGGAGTATAATTTATATATTAAAACCCTTATTACAAATTAATTAACTATGAATATGCAAAATGTCTTAATTTCTGAAGTTTTCCTGACGCAAAATGTCTCCTTTACTGTAAAGTCCATCCTCGGTGTGTGTGCGCTGGAGGCTTCAGGCTTCCACATCATACTTGTACAAGTTGAATAATGGACAAAAAATGCAAATTATTAGTGATGTCACAAATCATGCTTGTAGGCCCCGCCTCTTGAAATCAGATTTTCAATGAGCTCAGAGAAACTTTCCCCTTTCAGCAGATGAATGTGGAAACGTCCTTCTAGTGTCAGACTCTGCGCATACATCATTGTGCACAGTGAAGATCAAACATCCGGCTGTAGGAAAGCTCAAACACACGTTGTGTTTCTGTTTTTCTTCGGCTTTACTGGCACAAACAACGAGAAGTTCCCACAACGACTTGAACAATCTTCTCCAAGTCTTAGCCTCAGGCTTCACTCGCATTCAGACGTTGACACTGGAAAGATAATGACCCTTCATTGACAGTGGAGTTCAAAGGTCATTTGCAGAGAGGCTGCCGACCATGCCGCTGTCTGGCTGGCTACCATATGGGGCAAGTAAACATTCCCTGTGTGTGTTATTTACGCAACCAAGGCCAGGCGAGGATAACTTTTTTTTTAACTCTATCTATTCAGTTCAGGGCTGAATACACACAACAAACTGTATTTGCTCAAAAAAAGCCACCAAGAGCCACTTGGCTCGGCCCTTAATTCCCCACAGTGGCATTATAATGGACCGTCTGTGTCCTTAAGGCATGCTTGATTTGCATCCACAAAGCGCTAGACTAGAAGCACATTATTCTGGGCATGGAGACAGTGCCGCAACAATGCAACCCATTCGCTTACAGTGCAGTTAATGGGTTGAAAATAACTACTGGCCTTCTGGTCGCTTCCCCCTCAGGCAGATGCCTGTAAGCTTGTCATGTTTTCAGCAGGAGTTTGGAGTCCGATATCACTCACTGTCTACTGAGTGATGCCACAGGCACATCTGGAAAACCCAGTGATCTTTTGTTTTTGTTCCTTTGGGCATTTTTATTGTGTTGCTGTGTCTCATTATGAATGTGTTTCTTAAGAACTTAATTATCATCTGGTTATATAAAATGGATGGATTGAAAATATTTGCTCTGTTTTTGAAGTCAGAGGCGACGTTTGGAGGCCTTTTTCTGGGGCTGTTGGTCCGATTCTTTATTGATTCTTGATAAATCTTCTGTGTTGCCATTGTAGTTGTCGAAGACGATTTTGGTGCAATGGTGCAAAAACATTAAGAACTTTAAAAAGAAACAGTGGACACGCGCCCCCATAATACAGTGCCTCGTGTAATAGGATCATGCAAGGCATTTACACAGTAGAGTTAACAATCCCGAAGTCACTGCATTCAGGCAGCATGGTACACAGCTCAGTCATAAAAAGCTCAGTCATGGATTAAATTTCCAGCCACAGAGGTAAAACACATGTTAGAAGCGAGCGTGTCATTTCACTGCCCCAGTTTAAAAAGCACATGCGAAGAATTCTTCGCCGTCAGCTTTCTTTCTCGAGGCGATCGAGAAGAGAACCTAGGGAGAGAGAGGAGATATGTATTTTGGAAGAAAACATCAGCTCAAAATACATAACCAGAAACATGGTTTTCTCATTCACCCACTCTGTCTTGTTTTGCCAAAAGAGGAAGAAGAAAACCCCCCATCTTCTCTTCTCCCTCCATCCCTCTTCTCCCTTTCATCCCCTTTTTTTTGTACACTTGGTTTCCTTTGGATGTACTTGATTAGATGAGAAAAACAGTTGTCAAAGAAATTTCGGGCTTGAGGAATGATCCACGACACCGTGTGCGTTAGAGAAGTAGAGATTTGAGAGCTATTCTTGATTTGTGTGTGTGTGTGTGTGTGTGTGTGTGTGTGTTAGCACGT